GGGTCTGGGACACGAACCGCAGTTGACTACGTGGGAGTCCAGCGACATAGCCATTACGCTAACTGCTGGTTCCCAAAATAGATATTTTTTAATTATATTTTTTAATGTCAAGAAAGGCAGTTTTAGTTTTAATAAATCAAAATTTTAAAATGTTAAGAGAACTTTGCTTAATACTTAAAGCCAGGAAACAGGTTAGGATTCTGTTTGAATAGTAGATATGTGGACCTGTCCACAACTCAAGAGAAGACAAAACTCCTTAACTCTGGAGAACAAAGCATAAAAGATCAGTAATGTTTTAATCAAAAGTCATAAAATTCTATTTCACCAGTTCAAACTCATGTACTTTATCTTCTGTTGTGGTCCAATCTTTCCATTTAAATTCTGGAAGATAACATTCAACTCTGGACTTGTCCCTGCCATTAAGCTGGCCATTTTCTTAGTTGTTTAAGAACTCTTATTTCTGTGTGTCTGACTGTAGTTTTCCTGGGATAGCACTCCCTTCAGAACTTCTTGGAGAACTGGTCTGGTGTTGGTCAATTCTTTCAGGTTTTGTTTATCTGAGAATGTTCTTGTCTTCTCTTCCCATATGAAAGATAATTTTGCCGGATGTAGTATTCATGGTTGAAATTGCTTTTTCCTTAACTCTTTGAATATATTTTTTCATTCTTTCCTTGCTCACATTTTTTTTTTTTTTTTGATGAGAGGTCCACTGTTAGTCTAATGGGATATCCTTTGTAGGTAACTTGATGTTTCTCTCTTACCAATCTTAGAATCTTGTCTGTGTCTGTGGTTTTGGTAATTCTGGCTAAAATGTGTCTTGGAGAAGGTCTTCTAGGGTTGATCCTATTTGGGGTCCTCTGTTTTCAAGTCACCAGGAGCAAGACTCAAACCATAGTTGCCCATGTGGGAGTTTAGCACCTTAGCCACCATGCCACCTGCTGGCCCCTGTGCTATATTTCTAAATGAATAAATAATTAATCTATAAATTCATGATATATATCAAAATTGCTGTATGGTAAAAAGATTTAGCTGTATGATTATTAACAATGGCCACTTTTCATTGTATGTTTTAAGGTATATCTTTTTACTCTTACAGAGTTCGATAATGTTTTTCTGAGTCTTTTAAAACTTGATATCAAAATCACATGCAACATAGATACACAATGAAATATTAATCTCTAATCTGAAATGTTTAAGAGTCTATACTTTTCTAAATCAGAGGAAAAGTAAGAAAGTTATAAAGACCTGATTATTAATAAGGTAGTATAATTACAAATATATATTTTCACTAAAAATAAAATATATAATATCAATATTATTGTCTTCAATGCTAGCTAATGGTATTTGATTGAATTAGCCTTTACCCCCTAAAGAAAGACAGGTAAATTAGGTCCAGTTTTTTAATGTTATATTGGCTTATAAAGATGATCACTCATTAAGGTAATCATATCTTTTTAGAGAAATGACTATTTGTGGTTAAAGTTGGAAACATTGAAAGTGATAAAGAAAATCTAGTCATATCAGAAATAAGGATGAAAGGAGCATGTGGAAAGGACAAGTAGCAAACTTGGAAGGGACAAATATAGGAAAACTAAGCATTAACAAATGAATGGTAATAATGAGGTATAACCCTTAATTTAAAAAATCCATAATTCTGTACTGATAGAAGAGTAGATACAAAGACAATTTGAATCACTACTTTGTATTAAAATCGCCAAACAACAAATGTAAAATTATCAACAAAGAACAACACAGTTTTAAAAGTTTGCAAGAAGGCATGTGTGCTCACCAGAGAGAGAGAGAGAGAGAGAGAGAGAGAGAGAGAGAGGGAGAGGGAGAGGGTTTTTTTTTGAAAGAGAGAGAAAGCATCCTCCAGGAGGATGGCCTTGCCACAATCTGTCTCCTCCATTCTCCTCCCAGGATTTTGGGCACACATATATGTATATCTGGTGTGTTTTTCAAGCCACTGAGTTCAGGACTTAAACCATGCTGTCAGCTATGAGGAATCTAGTCATTTTAAACACTATTCCAGGCTGAGCCAGAACAGCACATTTTTAATCATTACTGATAGAAAAGACAATCAACGGATGATAAAACTTATTACTAAAAAGCATAAATGACCAGTTCCTTTATGAGGAACAAGATGTTTATAAAATAATTAAAATGATGCTCAGAAATTACTTAGGCAAAAAATGACTGCATGATAGAGATATCTGAAAAGCACCATTTTCACCAAGTGTTCCAGGTGAGCATCACTGATAATGGACCTGCTCACAATGCACAACAGAGGACACAATTTTTCCTTGCAGGAAGCAAATAATCTGAATTGAAAATCCTGTATGTGATCAATTTCAGGAGAATTCTACTAAAAAACTACTGTATATCATAGTACTTTCAAAAAATTCATGCAAAATGGAATTAAAAACATACTTATTTAATGCAAAGACATATTTAAAACTATACACAGTTTTGTTTGTTTGTTTGTTTGTTTTTTGGAGAGATTTTTGCTATAGGGCACGTGCACTAGCCAGAAAGATAGAGACAGAGAGATAGAAACCAGGAAATCACCCCCGCCCCCTTCCCAGGGGGATTTCTCCTCCATTCTCCTTTCAGTATCTTGGGCATGCACTCACATGCACCTGACATGAGTTTAAGCCACCAGGTCCAGGACTTGAATTGCAGTCGACTACATGGCAGTCCAATGACATAGCCATTACACCAACTTTTGGTTCCAGAACTATACATAGCTTTTTTTATAATATGCTTTTTTACACAAACTTTATAAAGACAATTTCTTTTTTTTACTTTTCAAAATATCAACACCTGAAAAGGCGCAGACTGTGTAAATAATCTGGATGCAAGGAGACCAAAGATAATTGATATTAAATATAATGTACAATCTTGGATTATGTCCTGGACAAATGAGGTTGTAAAGAGAATACTGTCCATGAGAACCAGCAGTTAGCGTAATGGCTATGTCTCTGGACTCCCACGTAGTCGACTGCGGTTCGCGTCCGGGACCCGGTGGCTTAAAACTCATGCCGGGCACATGTGCGCACTTGCCCAAGATCCCAAGAGGAGAATGGAGGAGAAGGGATTGTGGTGTGACCATACCCTCTGGGGGGTGATTTCTCACTTTCTGTCTCTATGTCTCTCTCTGTCAGTCTGGCGAGCGCACGTGCCCTATAGCAAAAACCTCTCAATAAGAAAAAAAAAAAAAGAGAGAGAATATTGTCCATTAGAGAAAAAAGAAAAGTCAATGCTAAATCTCACAATTTTAAAAATTAAATTGTACTTTGGTTAGCAAATTTCTCTTTTGTTTTAAAAATGAGGAATTTAGGTGTAAATGAGTATCATGTCTTCACTTTCATCCCAAGTGGTTCAAAATATAAGAGTATGGAAAAGATTAAAACAAATTACAATGAATGTTAACTTCTGCTATATCTAAATGAAAGCATATGATTCCTCTTTGAATAATTCTAGATACTTTCTGGAAATTTAAATTTACTTCAGAATAAAATGTTAAAAGCGGAAGTAACAAATCTTAGGATATGGGGAAGCACCCCACACCCCCCCCCCCCCCCCAAAAAAAAAAAAAAAAAAAAAAACCAGAAAAAAAAACCTTTTTTCAGGGTTTATTTTGAGATAGGTAACTTAAAGGTTAATTGACTTTTTCAGGTTCTGATCTTTCTATTACACTCCAGTCTTTGACAGACTGTCCTTAAGGAATGGGAGGCAACAGATCATGGGTCACAGAGTTCATCTTGGTGGGGTTCCAGCTCAGTGCAGAGAAGGAAGTGCTCCTCTTCTGGATCTTCTCCCTGTTGTATGTCTTCAGCCTGCTGGCAAACGGCATCATCCTGGGACTCATCTATCTGGACCCCAGACTGCACACCCCCATGTACTTCTTCCTCTCACACCTGGCTGTCATTGACATAGCCTATGCTACCAACAATGTCCCCAAGATGCTGGCTAACCTAGTGAACCACAAAAGAACCATTTGTTTTGTCCCATGCATGATACAGACCTTTGTATATTTGGCTTTTGCTGCTACAGAGTGCCTGATTTTGATGGTGATGTCCTATGATAGATACGTGGCAATCTGTCACCCTCTCCAGTACACCGTCATCATGAGTTGGAGATTGTGTGTGGTCCTGGTTGTCACTTCCTGGTCATGTGGATTTACCCTTTCTGTGGTGCATGCAATTCTTCTTCTAAGGTTGCCCTTCTGTGGGCCCAGGAAGGTAAACCACCTGTTCTGTGAAATTCTGTCTGTCCTCAAGCTGGCCTGTGCTGACACCTGGATCAACCAAGTCGTCCTCCTTGCGGCTTCTTTTTTTGTTCTAGTCGGACCCCTTTGCTTAATGCTTATCTCCTACATGCACATCCTCTGTGCCATCTTAAAGATTCAGTCCAAGGAAGGTCGCATAAAAGCCTTTTCTACATGTTCTTCACATCTGTGTGTGGTGGGACTCTTCTTTGGCATAGCCATGGTGGTTTATATGGTCCCAGAATCTAATGAAAGAGAAGAAAAGGAGAAAATGCTTTCCCTGTTTCACAGTCTCTTCAACCCTATGCTGAATCCTCTCATCTACAGCCTAAGGAATGCTCAGGTGAAGGGTGCCTTCCACAGAGCGCTGCAGAAGACAAGGTCCATGTGAGGGATGCTTAGAAGGTTAGTTGGGTAGGCTTTCCTTTTAAAACATGATCTTTGCGAAGCAAAAATTCACAAAAAAAAATTCCAGTTTAAAGTTTGATATAATAAATGTTACTTGTCCAAATGCTAGCTCTAAAAATAGGGCAAAGTGACAATAAAAACAATACGTCATTACAGTTGACAGTATTCTCTTACCACTGCCCACTGAAAACTTTCTCTGGATTATAAGCTTGTTTCTGAGTTAAATTCTATTGTTGAAAATCACTGCTACTTGGAGAGTAGAAAAAATGGATAAACTGTTTTCCCCTGATATTTCATGACTTTTTTGGGCTTTATTTAAAATCACCCATTTTTAAAGGAAAGCATAGTAAACACAAAACAAGCAGAAGAATGAGATAATTTATATTAAATGGATATAAATAAAATAGAAAATAGGAAAACAATAAATAAAATTAATGAAACCAAGAGTGATTGCTTGAGGATATGAACAAAATTGACTTCATTTAACTATGTTGATGAACAAAGATAAAGAGAAAAGATTAATATTACTAAAATTTGGTATATAAAATTATATCTTTATCAACCCTATCTATAGGAAATACTGTAAACAACTATATGCCAATAATTAAGAACTTAGATAAAAGAAACATTTCCTATAAAATAATGATTTACCAAGTCACTCAAAAAAATCTGAATAGTCTTACAGTAAGTAAAATTTTGAATTAATAATTTTTAAAGGATTATTTTATTTAACTTAATTTATTTGCTTTTACTTTGATGAGAGAGAGAGACACACACACAGAGAAAGAGACAGTGAGAAAGCAAGCCACTAGGTCCCTGGCTCTTGGCTGAAATTTGGCTCTTGGCTGAAATCCTGTATGGCCTTTTAGCCAAAGGCTCTACCTGGAAGGTCTGAAAAGGAAACTCTTCCCCTTTTCACATCAAACTCAGGGCACAATCAATGCATGGCAGTCTTGAAAAGGGGTCTGCAGTCAAGGATCAAGTCTCCTTGGCAGGCCGAGCTTTAATAAATATTATATTCCTTGACCAGGCACCTCCACCTGGAAGCCTTATCACTTGGGAGACTCTCATGGTTGTCCATATGGGAGTCCAACACCCTTAATCACTACACCACCTGCTGGCCCCTGAATTAGTAATTTTAAAATTTTTACCAAACAAAGCCATCGACCACATTGTTGCAATGGTAAATTATACTCAATTTCTAAAAATTAATAATACTGTTGAAAAACAGAAGATAACAGAACATTTTCTAATTAATTTATGAGGCCAGCCTTATTTTATACCAAAACCAGACAATCATATCACAGGGAACAAAACCTACAAACCTATGCACATTTAGATACTGTCTCACTGCTAAAGGAGCTCTGAATAATAATAGACCTTGATGTTTTATAGACCTGGAAGTACAGGAGGGTGTAGAAGAAGGCAAGAGGGAATAAGAGTGGAGAAATACTGAATCCCAGAGTGGAGAGAAATGGCCATCAAAATTCCCATTTTTGGCCTGCCAAGGAGACCTGAGCCTTGATTGCAGTCCCCTTTTCAAGACTGCCGTGCATTGACTGTTCCCTGAGTTTGATGTGAAAAGGGGAAGAGTTTCCTTTTTAGATCTTTGAGGTAAAGCCTTTGGCTAAAAGACCATACAGGATTTCAACCAAGAGCCAAATTCCTAAACCCTGCATACTCATTTCTTAGGTCCTAAGCAAAAACAATCTCCACCGTCATGAATATTAATGGCTCATATTTTGAGGGGCTATGTCAAGAAAAGGTTATTAAGGTCTAGTGGTGGTACAGCAGTAATTCAATCGGATCTATATGGGAAAGGGACTAAGTTCACATTCTGGGACCTCCCTGAGCATTTTGGGTACAGTCACGCATACCAGTGATCCAGCATGGATAAGACATGGGTGTATTGTCACGTGAAGACCCTGATAAGGGTGCCTTTTTCTTTGGTTTGCACACATGCAAAAAATAAATGAATATACTGGGAAGAAAAAATAAAAGAAAGAAGTAGATAATTAGTTTGAGGAAATAGTAGACCATAGTTACAATCAAAATCACCCCAGCAGGATGCCCAACCTGCCTGGAGGACTGAAGCTGTGAGCCTCAACCATTGTCCCAACCAGTCTTTTCCTGACTATATTGGAGAACCAAGAGGTTTTCTCCCTTAATGTCGGTACAAATCTTTTTTCTGGCCTTCAAGCATAGTGAACATGGGCATGGTGAGCTAAAGCTGACTTGAATGCTTTCTAGAGTAAGACAGTGTCATGATATATAAATATGAGGCACAATCCCAGAGAGCACATATAATCTCTCCAAATGCAATCTGAGTTTGTAATATTTGGGCATCTAAGGTAGGACATGTGATTATGAGGTGATCAGGTTAACAGGACTTCTAATTTGTCTTCCTAGCATTTGGCCACCTGCCCCAAGGTTCTGCATGCTTAGGCTTTAGTCTGCTTTTCTTTCCCTTTTTTTTGTTTCCTCCAACATTTATTTTTTAAATATAAAATATTCATAGCTATAATTTCTCTCTTATCACTGTTCTTTATGTATCCCATAGGGTTTGGCATGTCCTATTTTTGTTTTTAACTATTTCAATGTATTTTCTAATTTTCTTTAAGTTTTTTCTTTGAACCAGTTGATTAAGTGTGTTTTTTATTCTCATGAATTTATGAAATTTAAAATTTCCTACCTTTATTGATTTGTAGGTTCCTTCCATTATGATCATAAAGACACATTGCATGATTTCAATCTTCTAAAATTAAAACATGTTTGTTACGCTGCATATGTCCTGTCCTGGAGAAAGTTCTATGAGCATTTGAGAAAAATGTACATCCTGCTATTCCTTTCTTTTTCTTATTTATTTTTTAGCAATTTTATTTTATTTTTTAATTTCTTAAAACTAATTGACATTGAGGACCAGCAGGTGGCGTTGTGGTTAAAGTGCTGGACACTCCCACATGGCCGACCACGGTTCGAGTCCCGGACCTGGTGGCTTCCTTTCTCCCTTTCTCTGTCTCTCTTTGTGTCTCTCTCTCTGGTAAAATTAAAATAAATGAATGAATAAATAAAATAAAATAAATAATAATTTTTTAAAAAACTAATTGACATCTTTATGACATACAGTATGATTTTTCAAAGTACGCATGTAGCATGTGGTAGTCAAATCAAGAATATTGACATACACATTGTTTTTGACAAAGAACCTTACATTATTGTCTGTTAAATCTTTTTTCACGACCTCTTCCTACCCACCCCACAGTAACTACCCACATCCCATACACGCTCTGGTTTCTATACTTGCCCATTATTACAACCTAGTGGAAACAACATGGAGGTGTCTCAAAAATCTACAAGTAGAACTATCATATGACCCAGTAATCCCACTTTCTGGTATTTACCTAAAGTACAGGAAAACATTCTTTTGGAAGGATACGTACACATCCATGTTTATTGCTAAGACATGAAATCAACCTAAGTGCCCAAAAAGTGATGACTGGATTGAAAACAATATGGCACATATACACAATGAAATCTACTCAACCATAAAGAATAGAGAGATTCTGTCATTCAGTATAATGTGGATGAATACAGAAGATTTTATGATGAGTGAAATTAGCCAGACTATGAAAGACAAACATTGTGTATCCCTGCTCAATATATACCTAATGTCTGTGTATGACAGAAATTTAAAGTCTTTGATATTCTTTTTTTTGAGTAGCATTATCCCATGTTGCAACCCTGTTACCTCAGTGTCCCAGCCGAAACTACAGGTGTGTGCCACCATACTTGGTTCCCCCCATCCCCCACATCCCTTGTAATCCACCGCCTCCTATACTGTTTCTTGTATCTTAAGTTGCCCTTCCTGCTATTGTACCTTCCCATTTTTCAATTTCTGCCATAGAGTGCGGATACTAAGTATATATTAAGTGGGGAGAAACAATGTCTCTTTTTCATAGTCTGACTTACATCACAGCATTAAATCTTTCAAAGTAGTGTTTCTTAACTTAAACTAATGGCTACATATTTATTTATTTATTTATTTTGGAGAGGTTTTTGCTATAGGGCGCGTGCACACGCCAGACAGACAGAGAGAGACAGAGAGACAGAAAGCGAGAAATCACCTCCCAGGGGGGATGGCCATGCCGCAATCCCCTCTCCTCCATTCTCCTCCCGGGATCTTGGGCACGCACGCACACATGTCCGGGACTTGAACTGCGGTCGACTACATGGGAGTCCAGCAACATAGCCATTATGCTAACTGCTGGTCCCTAAACTAATGGCTTTTTAAGGGTGGTGATTAATTTCCACCTAGTTGTGAGTTTTCTTGTTTCTTTCTGTTACTGATTTTTAAAATTAATTCCCTTGTTTCATTATTATTTATTATTATTATTTATTATTATTATTTTGTAGAGGTTTTTGCTTTAGGGCACAAGCATTCATTGGAGGGAGAAAGAGACATACAGACACAGTGAAAGAGAAAGTGGTCTCCCCATGATCCCTTTTCCTCCATTTTCCTCCTGGAATCTTGGGCATGCATGCATACCTAGCTGGTGTGAGCTTCAGGTTACCAGGTCTGGGACTTGAACTGTGGTCGGCCATGTGGGAGTTTAGCTACATAACTGCTACACTGATCCCAAATTCATTCCATTGTGATGGGTAAAGTATTTCATATAATTTTGGTCTTTTAAAATGTATGAAAACTTGTTTTCTAGCCTAATACATGGTTTGTTCTGGAGAATGTCCATATGCACTTGTGTAAATGATATATTTTATTGTTGAGTAGAATGATTTGTGTATGTCAGTTCTTTTCAATTGGTTCACAATGTAATTCAAGTCTACTTCATCACTATTGATCTTTTGTTTGGTTGTTTTATCCATTACTGAAAGTGGGATATTAAAGCTTCCAAGTAGTTTATTTTTGTAAAATTGTGTTTTTCTTTCTTCAAGACGGTTAATGTTTGCTTAATATGTTTTGGTGCT